GCGAGGGCGGGGAGTGGGGATGGTGGAGGGGGGGGGGGCATAATGTAATGTAATGTATTTAAACAATAACAAATTCTCTTTCCATGTAATGTTCATGTTAGAAAATATCTCATATTCATTCTGCTGTTTCCAGAGAAATTTTCATGATCACCGCTTATATGGCACAAATATTTGTAAAGCTGATATTTATTATAAAAAATGCTCAACAAATTAATTTGAATTGAATTAAAAATGTTTAATATTCTAATAATGGGCAGAGGAAAAAAGAAATGCTAAATGCAAAGTGAATATTTTCTAGATAGGCCATATATTTTTAATAATTTGTTTTTGCTTTAGTACAAAAGCCAGTTATTTATTTTCGATCACAAGTAATATTTTTAATCTATTTTTAATATGATACTATATATATATATATATTAGTGTTAATTTAGTTTTTAGTTATTTTATAGATTTTCATATTTGAATGAGTTTTTATTTTTAGATTTTCAAATTTTTTTTTAGTTTTAGTAATTTAGTTGTGTGTTTCAGTCATTTTTTAAATATGTCGATACTTATATTTTTATGGCACAAAAATATTCATTATGAAAAATACTCTAAAATGAATTTGAATTTTATTGGAAATGTTTAATATTCTAATATATAATAAAATATGCGTGTGTGTGTTTATTAGTATTTTTAATTCTTTTCATTTTCATGTTCTGATTTTTTTTTCATATTTTCTGTTGTTGTAATTTAGTTGTTATTTTTAATCTTTATTTATTGTTATTTCAGGTTTAGTTTTATTTTTCAGTACAATAAGTTTTTAAGATAAAATAAGTTTTTTTTTTATTTTTGTAAATTCTGTTTTTGGTCATTTAGTTGTGTGTTTCAGTCATTTTTATTTTAATTAAATGTTTAGGTTTAGTTTTATTTTTTAATACAATGAATTTTTAAGATAAAATAAGTTTTGTATTTTATTTGAGATGATTAAAATGGTATGTTTTTAGTTTGATTACTTTACGTGAAAGAAAGCGTCTCATTTCAAACCCCTGATTCATTATTACTCTGCATCATCACTCAGAAACAGTGTAGCAGTGTAGCTGTGGTGGTGGTGTTTGCAGTATTTCTGTGTGTTGGTTGGAGAGCGACGCCAGCGCTATCAGCCGGGATCTTCTGCTCAAACAGACGCAGACGCTGCTGTCGACCTGACAGGCGCCACAGCCCGTCTCTCTCCTCTGTACCGGGCCAATGACCCCTCTCCTCCTCTCTTACCGGCACGGATCCTGCCTCTGTCAAGAACTCATCACTCGCACATTCCCAAACACAGATCACCACCAAAACATGACGATCGATATCCAGCCTTCACAAAAAGCCTGTTCTAATGAAAGCAGGCGAAAACAGACCCTCAACGTGCCATAAGAGAGCAAAGAAAACAACCCGTCAATACTGAGCTACTGCACAAACAAACGCTGCTAGAAAGATGGTTTGATGGTTTTTGCTGGTCTACTACACTCTTAAAAATAAAGGTGCTTCACGATGCCATTGAAGAACCTTTTTGTCTAAATGGTTCCATAAAGAACCTTTAACATCTGAAGAACCTTTCTGTTTCACAAAAGCTTCTTTGTGGCGAAAGAAGGTTCTTCAGATTATAAAAAGGTAAGAAAGAGATGGTTCTTTAAAGAACCTTTGACTGAATGCTTCTTCTATGGCATTGCTGCGAAGAACCTTTTAAGCACCTTTATTTTTAAGAGTGTAACTGGTCTTTTGCTGGTTTTTAACAGCTGCACTTTGACCAAATCCCATCTAAAACCATCAAAACACACCAACTTTATGCTGGGGTTTTTTGCCTTCATAAGCAACTTTATAGGCTTTCTTGGATTTATGTCATTTTGATATGTGTTATTTTGTATGTTATTCCTGTTAGAAACTAATAAACATTTAGTTTAAAACATAAACATAATTTTTTTCTTTCATTTTTTTAAGATTTTGCAATTATATAGTTTGTGTTAGGTTTTGTTTTTTGTGCATAAATATGCATTTATATTACTCTGCATATAATAAATATAATAAAAGCGTGCATTTTAAAGTAGAATAAAATGAGTGAGCTATTTGAAATGCTGATTCTAATAGGTTTTAATGTTAGCATGCTGCACATTGTTGAGTAAATAATGAGACTCTGATAAGCATAAAAATTGGGTAAAAAATATTTATACCATTCTTTTGGATGTTTTTTCAAAGATTGTTGCAATGCATTTAGGGATTGTCTTTGAGATTTTTTTGCATTTGAGAGATGTGATTCTGCCTCTGAAAGTAGCATACAAAAATTGATTTGTTTTTTTACTGTAAATATGCTCTTTTCTTTTTTATATAGTTTTATGTCAGAAGTGCATTTGTCTGATCTAGTTAGGGGAAAAATCATCCAAAGTTGGAAAAGTATGAAATGCTCTTATGAGTTTGATGGATGAAGCTTTGAAGCTGAAGAAAAAAAAAAAAAAATTATAACATTTAAATAAAATAATAAACATTTAGGACAGCATTATTAATATA